TATTCAAATTACACTACAAATCTAACTTAACAAATATCTATGTCATTCGCATTCAAAAACAATACCTTGTACTTCCAGTAATCAAAACTGTTCGACCTGCCATTTATCTACAAATATAAAACACACCAAATAGAATTTTAGCTTGTCTATTGCAAATCTTCCTAAGAAAAAGAAACAAAAAAAAAAGAAATTGATTTATTTGCCACCAGTTTGTTGTTTAGCAATTATCTCATCAAGTTGATGTTCAAAATCAACTAGTTCAACTTGAGATTTCTTAAATAACTTTTCAAATTCAGCTTGTTTAGCTGTACCATCAGTTAACATCTTAGCTTGTACCATTTTTGATACAAGTATTGTTGCTTTTCGTTCATGATGTTTACTCATTCGACATTGTGTAAAACGTCCCATTGTTAGAACTGGTAATGAAAGAATAGCTGCTTGAAATACTCGACGACGATTTGTTGAAAATAAAAATGCAGCCATACTACAAAAGAATGAACCAGGAATACCTTCGAACAAAAATAATCATTATTTTCTTATACATATATATATTGATTAATTGTTATTTACCAAATATCAGCGCTTCTTTCAGACAAAGTGTTTCACTAAGAGGTCGATTTTTTGATACTTCAACAAACATACCAAAATTTTGTTTTAGTTTATCCCAAGTCGATGCTGGTGCAAGATTAGGATCAGTATTTATTGGTTCAACTGAACGAAACTTTGAAAAATCTGCTGGATCATTTGAAGGTGCCATATCTAAAACTAGAAGATTATTATATCTTTAGCTGACCTAGAAACTCGCATGAAAAAGTCAAAAAGTATTCTCACGTCTCATTCCGATAATCTGTGCCTATATATATATCAGTGAAATCAAATTACTCTAATCCTTGAAAAAAAAATTTTGTTCTTTTTTGTCTTTTTTTATTTCTATGAAAAGATGTAACAAAACAAGTTTATTGGAAGAAAAAGAAAAAAAAATGAAAGAACACACAAGTTATAACTGTATATCACCGTTTCTGAAAGCATGACTAACTTTTTAACATATTTATAAACACACACACAAACATGTAACAAAAGTGAACAATCATTACAATTTTTCTCCAACACGAATCTTATCACCAGCTTGATGAGCAAAATGATATGTGGATGGTGCTTCGAATACAAGTACAATACAAGAACCTAGTTTGAACTCTCCAAATGCTTCTCCTTTATCAAAACTAGTTTCTTGTGTTGATTGAAACTTCTCTTTCCATATTCGAAATGTATAATCATCTAGTTTCTGATTTGTTTTTAATGTTTTATCAAAATAAACATCGATGGAACCAACATTTGTTGCACCAATCATTGTTTGAGTCATTAAGCCATGTTTGTATTGACCCAAGTAAACTACACGTTCATTAAGTAAAAGAAGATTTGGTATCCAAATGATGAATTCAGGTCGAACACTCATAAGTTCACCTTTTTTGGAAAAGAGAAAAAGTAATAATATAATAGCAAATCAGTAGT